ACCTTCGCCATATCTACACTGGTGGATGTGAATCATTGGAATGCATGCCTCCTGACCTTGGACAACTGACTTCTCTACAGACATTAACCTTTTTTGTGGTGGGTTCTAGCTCTAGTTGCAGCAATGTTTCCGAACTCGAAAACATAAATCTTGTCGGAGAATTAGAGTTGACTGGTCTAGAAAATGTAACGGAAGCTCAAGCAAAAGCTGCCAGTCTTGGAAGTAAAGAGAAACTAACGCATTTATTGTAGGAATAAGTCTTGGCTGGTTGGTCTTGGTCTTGTGGTGCCTTTTTCCTGCTTTTCAGCTTTCTAGGACAGCATCTCTACTTTCAGTTTGGATGCTCTAGGACAGTTAGGACAGCAGTTTGTTGAGATGCTCTAGGACAGTTTGTTGGGATGCTCTGCTCTAGGACAGTTTGTTGGGATGCTGACAGCACCCTCTTAGACTAGCATGGCTGCATGGCTGCTACAAGCAGCTATAAATATGTATCCAATCCTCTTTGGGAGGACATGGCTTTTGTGTTTAGTGAATGAAGAAAACCAGAAAATTGCCCCATCTCGAGTGCCATCCTCTTCTCAATGAGAGTAACCATTGAAATTCTAACATCTGGTATCAGAGCCACACTTTCCTGTAGGCTAAACATCTCTTGTTCCACCCCTTCCCAAGCTCGGTTGAGCTCTCAGCCAGCAGCAGCAGCAGCAGCACCGGTTGCCCCTCCTTCCCCTTTCCCTTCCCCCTCTCCACACAGCAGCCCCCCGGAGGTGCGCCATGTCCGACGCTCGGTCTCGGCGTTCGGTCGCCTCGAGCACTCGGCGTCAGCAGGACGCCGAGCTCGCCGCAGCAGAAGAGCGCAGGCGAGCAACGGCTCAGACCGCTGCAGCAGCAGCGAGGGCGGCCAGACTGGCGGCAGCGGAGTTGGCAGCAGCCAGGGCGGAGGCGGAGGCGGAGGCGGCGGAAGATGCGGCACGTGCGGCGGAGGTAGAGGTTGAGACCTTGCGCAGCAGCATCAACGGCTCCATCGCCGGCGACATCACCGCTGACAGGGAGCTTGAGGAGCTGGCAAGAGGAAGGGCACGGGAGCGAGCAGAGCGGTGGGCAGCAGCCCACCTCCACGGCGGCGGCGGCGGCCCAAGGGACCGTGCGCCCGCCGACGGGAACCCAGACGGGCGCGGGCGTGCCGGCGGCAGCCCGGAGCCCGCACGCGGCCCTCGCAGGCGGCACGGCTCCCTCTCCCCTGACCGGCGCCATGGTCACCACGGCGTCCAGACGGTGGTCAGGGATTTTGGTCCCGGCGGTGGGTGGCCTACCCTCACCAAAACCAACTACATCGAGTGGGCCGCGGTGATGAGGGTGAGGCTCCAGGTGCGGCACATGTGGGAGGCAGTCCGGTACGGTGACGTCGACTACGACGAGGATCGGCGGGCACTGGATGCCCTCATCGCTGCAGTTCCGCCCGAGATGCAGTTCTCGCTTTCCCAGAAGCGGACTGCCAAGGAGGCCTGGGACGCCATCGCTGCGGCACGCATCGGCAGCGACCGCGCCCGCAAGTCCACACTGCAGGCACTCCGCAAGGAGTGGGAGAACCTGGCCTTCAAGCCAGGTGAGGATGTTGATGACTTTGCTCTCCGTCTCAACACTCTCTTGCAGAAAATGGTGCAGTACGGCGACGACACCTACGACGAGGAGAGAGCTGTCGAGAAGCTCTTCCGCTGCGTCCCTGAGAAGTACAGGCAGATCGCTCGCTCGATTGAATCTCTGCTGGACCTCTCCACGATGTCGATCGAGGAGGCGTTAGGTCGCCTCAAGGTCGTCGATGGTGATGAGCCACGGCCTCTCTCGGGGCCCATCACCATCGGCGGGAAGCTCCATCTCACTCGGGAGCAGTGGGAGGCCTCTCAGGGTGACGGGAGGAAGGGGGAGTCATCTTCCCCGACAGGCGGCCATAAGCCGCGCAAGGCGCGGGGAGGTGTCCAGCTACGGTGGGCGCGAAGACGTGCCGAGGGTGGCGCCCGCAGAGGCGCCCAGGGCGTTGCCACCGGCAACCACAAGCCGGCACGAGACGACACCTGCCGCAACTGTGGCAAGCTTGGCCATTGGGCCAAAGACTGTCGACAGCCACGACGCGGCCAGGCCCACGTCGCACGGGTGGAGGAGGAAGAGCCGGCTCTGCTCCTAGCTCACGCAAGCATCGAGCTACCTCCAGCGGCACCGGCCGCAGCGGCTTTCCTCCACCTTGATGAGCCGAAGGTACTCGTCTCCCTCTGTGACGGCTCCAGCAACGACAAGGCTGATGGGTGGTACCTCGACACCGGCGCCACCCATCACATGACCGGCCGACGGGAGTTCTTCACCGAGTTCGACTCCAGCGTCCGAGGCACCGTCAAGTTCGGGGACGCCTCCGGCGTGGAGATCAAGGGTGTTGGCTCCGTCACCTTCACCGCCAAGTCCGGTGAGCACAGGCTGCTCACCGGAGTCTACTACATCCCCGCGTTGAGGAATTCTATCATCAGCGTGGGACAGCTGGATGAGAACGGCTCACGCGTGTTGGTCGAGGACGGACTCATGAGGATTTGGGATCGCCGTCGTCGCCTTCTTGCCAAGGTAACCAGAGGCACTAATCGACTCTACATCCTCAGCGCGCAGGTCGCACATCCAGTTTGCCTCGCCGCTCGTCGGGACGACGAGGCGTGGCAGTGGCACGAGCGCTTCGGGCACCTCCACTTCGAGGCCCTGAAGCAGCTCAGTGCCAAGGAGATGGTGCGAGGCATGCCGTGCCTTGACCACGTGGAGCAGCTCTGCGACGTCTGCGTGGTGACAAAGCAGCGGCGGCTCCCCTTTCCCCAGCAGACGAGCTTCCGAGCCAAGGAGCGGCTCGGGCTCGTGCACGGGGACTTGTGTGGCCCAGTGACACCGGCCACACCAGGAGGACGACGTTATTTCCTGCTGCTCGTCGACGACCTCTCCCGCTACATGTGGGTGATGGTCCTCGGCAGCAAGGGAGAGGCTGCGGACGCCATCAGGCATGCGCAGGCTGCTGCAGAGGCGGAGTGCGGCCGCAAGCTGCGCGTGCTGCGCACCGACAACGGCGGCGAATTCACGGCAGCTGAATTCGCGTCGTACTGCGCTGATGAGGGCATTCAGCGCCACTACACCGCGCCGTACAGCCCACAGCAGAACGGCGTCGTCGAGCGGCGCAACCAGACGGTTGTGGGGATGGCTCGGGCCCTCCTCAAGCAGAGGGGGATGCCGGCCATCTTCTGGGGGGAGGCGGTGGTGACGGCCGCCTACATCCTCAACCGCTCGCCTACCAAGGCCCTCGATGGCAGGACACCGTACGAGGCTTGGCATGGGCGCAAGCCGGCGGTCTCCCACCTGCGGGTCTTCGGCTGCCTCGCGTTCGCCAAGGAGCTTGGCCACATCGGCAAGCTCGACGACAGGAGCACCCCAGGGGTGTTCATCGGCTACGCGGAGGGCTCGAAGGCCTACCGCATCCTCGACCCGGAGACACAGCGTGTGCGCATTACGCGCGATGTTGTGTTCGACGAAGGGCGAGGGTGGGTATGGGACAAGGCGGTGGATGATGGTTCGACTCCGACGTACGACGACTTCACCATCGAGTACGTCCACTTCGAGGGAGCTGGGGGAGTAGGCAGCTCTTCTTCACCGAGCGTGTCTACCCCAGTCCCCGAGCCTCCACCGACTCCAACACCAACACACCCTCGGGCCACGACTTCGACTACGACGAGCTCTTCGTCGACACCACCCCAGCCGGTGTCCCCACACGCTCCAGCACCAACAGCCACTCCTCCGGGCACGTCTACTCCGACGCCAGCTCGTGTTGAGCGCAGCCCGGTGGAGTTCGTTACTCCGCTCTCCCACGACGGGGAGCGCATCGACGCGTACCATGACGGCGAGCAGCTACGGTACCGTACGATGGAGGATCTTCTCGGCGACCAGCCGGTGCCGGGACTGGTGCCTCGCAACCTGGAGGCGCAGTTGCACCTTGCGTGCGACGACGGTGAGCCTCGGTCTTTTGCAGAGGCCGAGAAACACGCGGCATGGCGTGCCGCGATGCAGTCGGAGATGGACGCGGTTCAGGAGAACCGCACCTGGGAGCTTGCTGACCTCCCTCGTGGTCACCGCGCGATCACCCTTAAGTGGGTGTTCAAGCTGAAGAGGGATGAAGCCGGAGCCATCGTCAAGCACAAGGCTCGCTTGGTGGCACGCGGTTTCGTGCAGCAGGAGGGGATCGACTACGACGATGCCTTCGCTCCCGTGGCACGGATGGAGTCCGTGCGACTCCTTCTTGCGCTGGCTGCTCAGGAAGGCTGGGGCGTCCATCACATGGACGTCAAGTCGGCGTTTCTAAACGGCGACTTGAAGGAGGAGGTCTACGTGCACCAGCCGCCGAGATTTGTGATCCCCGGCAAGGAGGGCAAGGTGCTACGCCTGCACAAGGCCCTCTACGGCTTGCGGCAGGCACCGAGGGCGTGGAATGCCAAGTTGGATTCCACGCTCAAGGGGATGGGCTTCGAGCAAAGCCCGCACGAGGCGGCCATCTACCGGCGGGGCAATGGAGGAAATGCCTTGCTGGTGGGTGTCTACGTCGACGACTTAGTGATCACCGGCACCAAGGATGCAGAGGTCGCGGCGTTCAAGGAGGAGATGAAGGCCACCTTCCAGATGAGTGATCTGGGGCCTCTCTCCTTCTACCTGGGGATCGAAGTGCACCAGGACAACTCCGGGATCACGCTTCGACAGACCGCCTACGCCAAGCGCGTCGTTGAGCTGGCTGGGCTCACCGATTGCAACCCAGCTCTCACTCCGATGGAGGAGAGACTGAAGCTGAGCCGCGACAGCACAGCGGAGGAGGTGGATGCTACACAGTACCGACGTCTTGTGGGGAGCCTTCGCTACCTCACCCACACACGGCCGGACTTGGCCTTCTCCGTCGGCTACGTCAGTCGGTTCATGCAGCGACCGACGACGGAGCACCAGCAGGCTGTGAAGAGGATCATCCGCTACGTTGCGGGGACTCTCGACCACGGTCTCTACTACCCGAGGTGTCCTGGCAAGGCACACTTCGTCGGGTACAGCGACAGCGACCACGCCGGCGACATCGACACCAGCAAGAGCACGAGCGGGATTCTCTTTTTCCTCGGCGAGTGCCTCGTTAGCTGGCAGTCAATCAAGCAGCAGGTGGTGGCCCTGTCCAGCTGCGAGGCCGAGTACATGGCAGCATCCGCCGCTTCGACCCAGGCGCTCTGGCTTGCTCGACTGCTTAGTGATCTCCTCGGCAGAGATACTGGAGCGGTGGAGCTCAGGGTGGATAGCAAGTCCGCTCTGGCCCTGGCAAAAAACCCCGTTTTTCACGAACGGAGCAAGCACATCCGAGTGAGGTACCATTTCATCCGAAGCTACTTGGAGGAAGGGAGCATCAAGGCGAGCTACATCAACACCAAGGACCAGCTTGCGGATTTGCTCACCAAACCCCTTGGGAGGATCAAGTTCCTTGAGCTTTGCTCCCGGATCGGGATGGCTCAACTCTCCCACAAGACGGCGCACAAGACTTAGGGGGAGAATGTAGGAATAAGTCTTGGCTGGTTGGTCTTGGTCTTGTGGTGCCTTTTTCCTGCTTTTCAGCTTTCTAGGACAGCATCTCTACTTTCAGTTTGGATGCTCTAGGACAGTTAGGACAGCAGTTTGTTGAGATGCTCTAGGACAGTTTGTTGGGATGCTCTGCTCTAGGACAGTTTGTTGGGATGCTGACAGCACCCTCTTAGACTAGCATGGCTGCATGGCTGCTACAAGCAGCTATAAATATGTATCCAATCCTCTTTGGGAGGACATGGCTTTTGTGTTTAGTGAATGAAGAAAACCAGAAAATTGCCCCATCTCGAGTGCCATCCTCTTCTCAATGAGAGTAACCATTGAAATTCTAACATTTATCTCTTGAGTGGAATAGTGGGGGTCCTGAGGAACTAGTACAAGATTGTCATGCGAAGGTGCTAGATGCTCTTAAACCTCATGGTGGGCTGGAGATGCTAAGAATTGTTAACTATAAAGGCAGAGGTGCACCAACATGGATGAAAGAACTTAGTTTGTTTCAGCAACATCTGACTGAGCTCCATCTTGTTGGCTGTACATTGTGTACCGACTTCCCTGAATTTTCGCATTTGAGGGCCCTTCAAATTCTTCACTTGATAAAGGTAGATAAATTACAGAGCATGTGCAGCAAAATGGCATATGTGGAATTTCCAGCATTAAAGAAACTCCAATTACATGATTTAGAGAGCTTCGAGAGCTGGGTGGCAACACCAGGAAAAGAAGAGCTGTCCTTTCCAGTGCTTGAGGAGATTGATATTAGGAACTGTCCGAAGTTGACGAGTCTGCCTGGACCACCAAAGGTCAAGGTTGTCAAGCTAAACGAAGACATGGCACAGCTATCCCTTTCCCTAATCACATCCACTAGATACATGTCGTCATGTCTGTTTTAAAATTGTCAGTTAGAGACAGTGAAACAACACTGGAGCTTGATCAGAATCATGAATTATCAATTTCAGTAATCAAAATTACAGGATGCTGCTTTCTCTTCACCTCAAGTCCATTGCAACCTGTGGTTGGGATTTGGAAATGGTTTGGACAACTTCAAAAATTGAAAATTAGTCGGTGCGATGCTCTCATCCACTGGCCAGAGGAAGAGTTCCTAAGCTTGATATCCTTGAAGGAATTGATCATTGTTTTATGCTCTAATATAATTGGCCGTGCACAAGTGAATGGAACGGCAACACAAGCAAGGGATCAGCTCCTGCCACAGCTAACAAAACTAGAGATAAGACATTGCAAAAGCTTAACATAGCTGTTCGTCCTTCCTCGATCTATAACATACATATGTATTAGAGGGTGTCCTAACTTCCAGTGCTTATGGGGGAGGGGGACAGGTGATACAGAGTCCGATTAATTTACAGGTGGAGCATGGCAATGACCTCACGCCCACAAGTGTCTCAGAGAAGCCAGGAAATAACTATTTACCTTGCCTAGATACCCTATTCATAATGGGTTCCGATAAGTTGGCCATGCTTCGAAATCTGCCTCCATCTCTCAAGAACTTGTCAATTTATCACTGTCCAGAGCTTCGCTCCATATCAGGGAATTTGGATCAACTCGTGGACGTGAGTATTGGGGGCTGCAATAAGTTGGACTCGCCTGATTGGGGGAACCTACCTGCATTAGAAGACTTTGGACTTTTGAATTGCAAACGTCTGACATCATTACCTGGTAATCTTGGGAATTACTCTGCTCTCAGGAGGGTTCTCGTCAAATACTGCCCAGCCATAAATATGAAGCCTCTTTATAAGCACCTACCATGACTTGTCACATGCTCACTCAAGCGATCCTATTGAAGGTATCATTCCATTTCCTCGTCTCTCTCTCTCTCTCTCTCTCTCTCTACACGGTGTTCATTTGGTTTGTCAATGTTTTGAGATGCACTTTTAGTAATTCTTATTCCCATGTGACCTTTCTGTTATGGCAGACCGGTTGATAGGGAGTTTACTTTCAGACTAGCGGCCCATTAGAAACTAATGCTGACGGTGCTCTAATCTGGATTGCACACAATTTCTCTCCTTGCAGAGTGTTTCAGTACACGTGAAAATACACGGTAGTAGTAGTAGTAGTGCATCACCATTTTATCCATCTCAAAAAAGAAAAAGAATCACCATTTCTCAGTTTCCATCAATAAGATGGGAATATTTTTCTTTTCCATGAACAATTCATTATGACTGGTGTAATACATTCCATTGTAAGTTTCTATGGTAATTTGTTTTGGCATCGGTGTAGTTGATGTACGGAGTGAAATAATCAAACCGTTTCCCATATTCAGGGCCTAAACTACGGGATCCAAGATCTTGGAAATATGCTATTCCTGGGTGTCAAAATTGGACGTATCAGCGCCACCAGAATTACTGAACACAGATCCGGCCAGAAGCAGTGAAGGTTTGTAGGACTAAAGGTTTATTGAAACAAAAAATGTATTGATAGGCTTGAATATTTATGTTGCTTTCCCCTCTTCCTTTCCTTGACCCCTTTTTTTTTTGGCTTCTTGCAGCATTGGCTCACGAACAAACGTTTTGGGAACCTCCTGCATTATATTTTTGGCGGTTTTGCATGGTCCGTTGCGATGAATGGAGGCCGCTGTGAGGGCTCAAGTGTTGACGAAATAAAATCCATGATTAAAAAAGATATGGGGAAGTTCCAGTTGAAATGTTCCCCCTTTTTTTTTCCATTCAGTGGAAGGATGCTGGTTCGAAGCAAACACTCTTGTTGCCTGGTGCCGACATAATGTTGTCTTTTTGTTTACATGATATTCTGGCACGAACTGGAGCTCTTGTAACAGTGTCGTCATATAGCCTTTGCTGATCGTGTAGTATTTTGCTTCTGTTTCTTATTCATATCTGGTCGCCTGCTGCCAAATGTAGGAGGTGCTTTCCTCTCAGAAAGGCCTCCATCTCTTGTAAACTTGGTTAAAGTGCAGGAGACCCTTCTGGCTGGGTAATAATGTTTGACTGCATAGCATATTCTTTAGATTGGTTTTGCAAAACCACGGGAAAATATGTAGTGCAAACCACATATGTAGTGGAAACATGGATACCGTTGGATCGAGAAATGGACGTCCGAGATTCGTCCACGTCACCATGAGTTAAAATTTAACTCCTAGTAAAATTTCAACTCATGAGTGAATCTGCGAGTTAAATTTTAACTCAGGGTGACGTGGACGAATCTCGAACGTTTATTTCTCGATCCAAAGGTAGTTTCCATGTTTTCACTATATATTATATGTGGTTTGCATTAGATATTTTCCCGACTATATATCGGTATAATATATGTAATGACAAATGGCTGCAATTTGTTGTGGCAATTTTACGGAACTACTACAACTTTGATACATAATAATAGAGGATAACAACTTTGGAAAATTCGCAAGAGAATCGACTATAGGGGCTCGTTCATCATCCAAATAGAGCGGTGGTATATTTGAACTTAAACGGGATGGCCAATGCTCTATTAAGATGATAGGAAAACCTAACCATAAATTCTAATACGAGTTTTTGAACGCGGTAGTTCTATGTTTCCAAAGGTCAAAGTTTTCGTGGTTATTATGTGAAACTAGGAAGGTAGCCTGCGCATTCGCGCGGACATGTATCGTGGGCTACATTTGAAAACAAATCATATTTATCAGATAGCCTCTGCCATGTTTTGGAAGTACATTTCCTCAACAAATATTCTTCGTTGGCATCACTTTGATAATTTCTCTACGCTATATACTATATAGTATTTAATTAATATGTATAAGCAATTATCTATAATCTTCATCATCATCGGAGCTACACCTAGTATGTTAAGAAAACATGATTATTAAATTAAAAGCAAGGTGTTTTTTTTTCTTTGTTTTTTGAATGCTTTGGGCCCTGCTGGTGAAAACGTAAGACCTAGTGAATTGCTAAATTCACTGTTCCTTTTTCCCCGCCAAACAGTTTTCATGCAGCTCGCAGTTCCTAGTCACCGTGTTGAGATGTGGTCATTGCACCTATGGAGGTTGCCTTGTGATTCATCATAGTGGTGATCACATTTTTGGTCAAACTTAGTTAGTCCTATTTCCATGTCTTGTTATATCGTAAAATCTCCAAAGTTAATCATTCAAGTATATATATCAACAAAAATATATTCGCAAATGATTAATGTTCATATATAGGGATGATTCACCTTTTAAATGGTCTATGCACAAAGAAAATAAACTGAGTTACTCGGAATGCTTAGAAGGCCAGAACAAATTAGCACGCTTGAACATACATCAATGAGATACTAAAAGTGCATTAAGCATCATCTAAAGTCAATTAGATGGTAACATAGTTTAGAGCAGATACACGAAAGATCATTTAGCATGCTTGGATTATTTTAGCACATTTTACAAAAGTTCACGAAGTAATTGGATTTTTTTTCTCAAACTAAAGCCATTGGATTTTCTATGTATTGGTGGTTTGGATTTCATATTTTAGTTAGTCATATTTGCTTAGATAGTGCATATCTAATTTACCTATGCATGTTCGAGAAACAACATATGATGATGCAACCTGTATTGGATTATTTCGTAATTCTTTTACAGCAATTCAAATGACATGTAAAAGGGTAGGGGTGTTCTTCCTCAATAAAAAAATGTTTTATAATTCACTTTGTAATTTTTGTTTGGATACTATTGATTTAATTTAGCTATACATGTTTGCAGAATGATGTATAGTGATGTAATATATGCAGCCAATTTGTTTAAGGTATTTCAATCATATTTAGATGGTATGCAAAGCGCATAGGGTCGTGGGCTGGATGTGGTCGAATGTCATATTTTGTATATAGGAAAAATATAAGGATAGCGATCTTAAATTCCTAGTTTAGTTATAATCAGAGCAACATTTTTTTTAGAAATCAGACGTGCAGCTTAAAAATTATGGTTAATTTAATATATTAATTATTTCTCTTTTAGTTTACTCCTACGCAAAAAAAGGAATGGGATAGGAAGTGGTCTGCGCGCATGTGAGGGGGACAAGGAGGTAGATGCGATTTATTTTTCTAATTTCTCCAAATAATGTAACTTAAAACCATTAAAACCAATGATGATAGGTTTAATTTTTTTCTCAAAATTTCTAAGATTATTTCTGATTTTCAGGACATTGATTTAATTGAAATATTTATAATTTTAAAATGTGACATATGGTGATTTAAGTGTGCTCTAAAGGGTGTTTAATTGGTTTTTATTACGTAGACCGATTTAATATGAAATAATACATGTTGTTATTTTGTTATAGTTTTTCATTGTCATTTAGTTTCCCGCAAAGGAATATTTTAATTTTTATATAGTAAAAAACAAATATGATGGATATTGAATTATGTAATTACTTGTAAATAAAACAATAGTTCAAACAAATTAAAAATCAAATATAAATTTAGAAATTATAAACCATTTAGCTTTGTTTTTTAATATTAGGTTGTTAGTTAAAAAATAGAACGGGAGAGGATCAGAGGAGATATATGTACAGCAGGTTGAGGATGAGGGGCGGAGATTTTTTTTCCTAAGACATATTCCAACGGGTTCTAGTCTTTAGTTATCTATTTTTAAAAGATAGATATAATTTTAGATCTATTAGAAAATATGTCGGGTATTGTATTTACTAATATAAGCTAAATGTTGCTAATCATATAGTTTAAAAATCTATGTGATTTTTCTAAAAATGTATCGAGTGAACCAATATGTAGTCTCTAGGAAATACATTTATTTTACTTTTAAAATGCATTTAATTTGGGTATTGAATTCTAAATTTTATTGCAAATAATCTCATGCCGTGCACAGATTAAAAAATATCTATTTAGATGGTATATTTGTTTAAAATAATTTAATACAAAATATGTTTTCCAATATTAATTAAGAAAAATGCTTGAAAATAGGTGGGCATCGTCCTCATGTATTAGGGTGAGAGCAGGGACGATATATGATACGTACATAAGTAATTATACGTACATATACCTACGATATATAATGGCAGCGGTGGGGTGTGGGCCTTTTTTTTCTTTAAGTAAATCCGATGATAGAAAATATGGGTCCACCGTATATTAGTGAAAATCGACGGCTAGATGTTTTGTTATTTTCTATAATTCCCTAGAGTGACATATGGTGAGATTAGAGCGTGTATATATATATATATATATATATATATATATATATATATATATATATATATATATATATATATATATATATATATATATATATCGATCAGGTGAGCCCTGGGCCCCTGGCTTTCCCTCTCTGCTTTTTTTGCAGGCAAAACGAGGCCGCCGCCACCACCACCCTTGCTGCTTCTGCGATCGAAGCACAGGAAGAGTGAAAACTAATCCCTGCCGTCGCGTGCCGATGGACGATGTGTTGGCTACTTGGTTATGAAGTATGAACTTATGATCTTGGCTAACAAGGGTTTGCTTTCCCCCATGGAAACCGACCGGTTTTTCCCAAAAACCGTGAAATCAACAGGGCCGGGAACTAATCCCACCGGGAATTTCGAAGGATGTAAGTAAAAAATTGTGAAAAAAATTATAAAATATGAAAAATGTAAATTTAAATCGAGAAATTATGAAAAAAAATTAAAAAAAATCCTATAAATATGGTGACATCTATATATTATATACTAAAAGTCCATTAAACTTGCTACAGGCGCTCCAAGGCTGCCATGTGGCATCCTATAAACGCTCTCGAGTCGTCACGTGTCACTCTAATAAATTTTAAAATCCGGTGGACCCATTATTTCTGACCATTAGATTTATTATAAAAAATACAATTAAATTTATCTAAAAACTAGCATTGTACGTGCACGTATAGGTATTTCAAAAAAAAAAGAAAGTACGTCCATACTTTGATACGTACGTACGACACTGGACCCACATCATTCTTTTTTTCTTTTTCTTTCTCACTTATTAGATAGAAAATCAAACTGCCTATATTTACTATGCAAAATATATGTTATATAGAGTTTCTAATTAGGCGCATTTCATTCAAACATCCATAAAAATATAAATAAAATAAAAACAACTCTAATTGTGACTAACAATTCTAAAAATTTTCCATTTCCTAGGTAAAAGACAATAATATGTCAAAATGATATTACTAAATTATCATGAACGTATTTTCAGGTATTATGTGTTTTCTCTATTCGTATAATATTTGAAAATTAAAGATCTTATATATTGTTTTGACACCGTGTCGAAGTGTAGCTTCTATCTCCGACTTAGGCTTTAATCTAGCTCAATAGCTGAGCTTATCTTGGACACACGAAACGAGTCATTAGTGCAAGATTAATTAAATATTATAAAGCCAAAAATAGATTTATCTTTTATCTAGAATATATTTCTAATAATACGCACACTGCACTTAAATATATCAAATGAAGGTCATGATTATCAATTTAATTATAAGGAATATAATGGTTTAGACGAACTTAGATATTATTATCAAAAGGTATTAATTTCTTTTATAAAAATTCCTAGATCAATTGAGGAAACGTGCTTGTCAGGGTTATGGATACCACATACCTAATCGTAGTTGACTAAATCTCGGCAGGACCCACCACATACCATGTTTATACGAGAATTGACTTCGGATATGAAGGGAGTTCCGGATAAGGAAAGACAACTAGAGTTCTACATGGAAACGACAAGGACTACTCGGATTGTATCCATATTGGTTTCCCTAATTCTACTTGGACAAGGGGACACCTATGGGTATAAATACAAGGCCCCCTAGGAGGAGAGGGGACACAATCAACATACATGGAACAACATACAAGCCAACATACACCAAGACAAGACGCCGGACATCGACTTCAGAGATAGGCATGGCTAGTCTCCTACGGTGCCTACGGATACCGTCAGGAGAGATATAGCGTTGTCTCTGATCTCGCCGGATACGGATTCGAGGAGGAAGGCTACCCTGTTGTCGACTACGAGTCAGAACTTCAGACCGCTATGTCGATAATAGTTAGATAGGCTACCCCAAATATTGTACTGGTGTGATTATGATGAATAAGAGTAACGACCGGCTTCGGCCAACAGGATGTAGGGCTAATACCTGATAATTCAGGGGCCCGAACCTGTATAAAAATCCTCGTCTCTGTCTCTTTTACCTCAATCTCGCATATATCCTAGTACCAACGATCCCCATACTATGCAAATACCGGAATCGCGATATCAAACGTCGACAGTGGCGCGCCAGGTAGGGGGTCTTTTGGTGCTTCAAGGTTTCGACGAGATGGGTTTAAGAGATGGATTCTCCGACAACGAGCTACTCGACGACTTCAGCTGAGGGGGAGATCCAACCTAACCAGATCGGAACCATCATCGTCATCGACAACTTGGTCTATCGAGATCATCCAAGCCTCAAGCTTCGCGGCGTACCAAAAGATGTCAGATCGTATGATGTCGAACGAGTACGCAACAAGGTAATTGGTAGATTGGTTTTTTAAATTAATCTACTAATTTCGTAGATACATCCGGCATGTATCTACAAAGGTACGCAATATTTTATCTGCAATTTATCAGATCATACAACATTGTCAGATCTATAATTTATTATGTTTACCTAGAGCATGTTTTTTTTATACAATATCTTTTGTGCGAATATTCCCTATATTAAACCAACTACGGTTTAATGCTGGGGGCTCGCTCTGTATTCCTCTGTATAAATCATGCTTGTTTACGGTTTACATAATGCTTGATATTTAATCTGCTCGTTATATCCTGATAATGCTAGAAGATCCATGCAGTTTTTTGAGTGCATACTCGATATTCTCTGCTATATGTCTTGCCTTCTAGAAAATATTTTTCAGGAACAATTGAGCACTCGAGTAGGTTGTGGTCGAGTATACCCCATTATCGAGAACGATCTTGACAAATGCAAAGTCATCGCGCCCAACCTGCCAACGGAGACCGACGATCTATCTCATAGCACCGGCCATGGCTGGACTACTCGAGAAAAGGCTGTTAACGGATAATTCCTCGTGAACGTCGTCGGCTTGATCACCCGATATGATTGCGAACGGACATCCAGATATGCTATAAGTTGGGTATGTGAGTCATGCTGGCCACATGAGATGCACATGTAATAAATCAACTTTAGCGCCCCTATAGGTGATTAAGAGACTCCTACTCCTGGTTCTCAAACCAGTAAAACGTAGTGATCTCTCTCGCCTTACTTCTAGTGGTCGAGTTACGACTACTACCTGGTCCTCGACCAGCGGTGTAGCGATTCTCCCACTATTTCCACTTCTAGTGGTCGAGTTACGACTACTACCTGGTCCTCGACCAGCGGTGTAGCGATTCTCCCACCATTTCCACTTTAAGTAGTCGAGTTACGACTACTACCTGGTCCTCGACCAGTGGTGTAGCCATTCTCCCACTACCTTTACTTTAAGTGGTCGAGTTGGGGCTACAACTGGTTTTCGACCAGCGGTGTAGCGATCCTCCTATTACCTCTACTCCAACAAAGTTGATATCAGGTACACAATATCACCAAGTGTTTTATCCAGAGATCCCTTACCACGACGACACCTAGAGTTGAAACCAATCCTACTGTCCCTTTACGCTGTCCTGGCAAGGCCTCCGAGGAACCTAAGGGAACTTCGGCTAGGGACACCCAGAGCGGATAAGGCCTTGTCAGATCATGCAGAGACAAACGACCATGTAAGATCTGGTCATGTAAGAGTTCTTACCGTGCGTATTAACCAAGCCGTGCAATCGGAAATTTAGTTTTCCAACTTCACGGCTGGGGGCTAGGGTCAGTGCTTTTTCAACCAAGGCAGGTCAAGGGTCCAAGAGCCTTATCCTCCGAGAACAATTCTCCGACGACAAGGCTAGGGGCTAGGGAGAGTGTATGACTCAACAAACTGACTGACCGAAATCGGTAAAAGAGAAGACGCTCGTACACAAAACATTGGTCTGTAAATTTAATTTATTTTCAGTTTTCCATACATATTATAACATGTCACCCTTTGAGCGTTCGCTCAGGGGCTATTTCCATCTAATATTCTTTTCTGAGTATTGATTTCAGGAAAATTCTATTCGACATCATTGAAGACTCCATGTCTCTATGGTTCTACACCAAGATCGACTAAGGCGAGTATGATAAATGTTGACAAGGCTTCGTCGCAGACTCTGCGCCTTCTTGACCATTCGAGAACGGTTGGTGGATCTCGACAAGGAATACAAAATGAAAAGATGGTGTACTCACCGAGATAAAATTTCTTGACTTCAATCCAAATTCTCGATTACAGTAAGACGGGAGACTTAGTCGTATGCTCTGTACTTTCTGTACTTTCTTGGTTGACGTCGGAGATTGACTCAGACAAACCCTATAGGTACCCGCACGAGGCTGATAAGGGAAGTCTAAAGTTATCTTTGAACTTACTGAGAACGGTCACGTGAGCTCGATAACAGTTACTCCAAGGTCTGCGGTTGAGAATATGAATTTGTTCATTTGCATTGAAGTCGGGGGGCTACTGTCAGGGTTATGGATACCACACACCTAATAGTAGTTGACTAAATCTCGGCAGGACCCACCACATACCATGTCTTATACGGAAACTGACTTCGGATATGGAGGTAGTTCCGGATAAAGAAAGACAACTAGAGTTCTACATGGAAACGACAAGGACTACTCGGATTGTATCCATATTGGTTTCCCTAGTTCTACTTGGACAAGGGGACACCTATGGGTATAAATACAAGGCCCCCTAGGAGGAGAGGGGACACAATCAACATACATGGAACAACATACAAGCCAACATACGCCAAGACAAGATGCCGGACATCGACTTCAGAGATAGGCATGGCTAGTCCCCTACGGTGCCTACAGATACCGTCAGGAGAGATATAGCGCTGTCTCTGATCTCGCCGGATGCGGATTCGAGGAGGAAGGCTACCCTATTGTCGACTATAAGTCAGAACTTCAGACCGCTATGTCGACAATAGTTAGATAGGCTACCCCAAATATTGTACCGGTGTGATTATGATGAATAAGAGCAATGACCGGCTTCGGCCAACAGGATGTAGGGCTATTACTTGACAATTCAGGGGCCCGAACCTGTATAAAAATCCTTGTCTCTGTCTCTTTTACCTCAATCTCGCATATATCCTAGTACCAACGATCCCTATCCTATGCAAATAACGGAATCGCGACATCAAATGTCGACAGTGCTCACAATAAATAAGAGAGTAGCCAATCCGATAACTACTTTACAACTTATTGCTTACGTACTAAAACCCTTAATATGTAGTATATAATATACTTTATTTTATTTTTAATAAAAATAAAATACGAGTAAAAACATAGAAAAAAAGGAAAAAAGATAAAGAAAACGTGCAAAGCAGACAAAAGAGAAAGACCCTGTCTTGCTGGCTATACGTAGGCATGTACAGTGTACTATCTCAACTGCCATTCCCAACGACTAACTCCCCTGTATCAACCAAACAAACAAAAAAAATATCTTTTTTAAAAATGGAAGAGAAAAAATAACAGCGGCCATTGATTTTGTTTTATTATTTTGGTTGGTGGTGCCGTGTAGAGGGGGAGGCGACGAGACGAGACGAGAGGAAGGAGACGAGACGATACGCGGAGATCCGGGCGGCGACCCGCGGAGGAGGAGGAGCCCGCGGCGCCATGGATTCCGACCACTGGATCTCCCGCCTCATGGCCGCCAAGCGCCAGTACGCGCTGCAGCGCGCCCAGAATCACCACCACGCCACCGCCACCGCCACCGCCACCGCCGCGTCGCACTCCCACCTCGGTATACCTTGCCTTGATTTCTTCCCCTTTCTTGATCCGGCGTAGAAAGCCAAGCCGCGATTTTTTGTTTCCCTGAGCGGAAGATTTTGGTCTGGCCGCGGAGGATGGATGTCCCCTTTCCGGATCTCTCGATTCGTCGTCGCTAGTTTGAGTCTTTTGAGGCTCGGTTTGTGATGGGTTGATTTCTAGGAATTCGATTGATTTGTGTTTGGATTCATGTTGTTTCGGTGAGGACCAATAAGAGGAGGATTGAGCATGCATCGTTGTTTCGTCTCATTTGGCTCCATTTCTTGGTTTTGAACTTTTGATGGGGGCCTATTTGACTCGTCTGAAAGATTTGACCTTTGATGAAATGCACCTATGCCAAACGTGATAATCTTTTGAATACTCAGTGCGTTCATATTGATTTTCCGTTTTTGAAATGCTACGTTTTCCCTGTTCAAATGTAAGTCGCGAAATGACGCTTTCGGATTTGGTTTGACAATATTGCGTTATTTCTTTCTTCGGATATTTGCAATTATTTGAGATTGGTTTGCTTTCTTCTGGTTCTTGATGTTCTATTTGTTTGCCTTATGGAGACCTGATTGAAATTAACATTCATTTTATACTATCTAACTTTTGCATGTCTTAAATTAATTCACTTGCAGATCGGTATGGGTACGATGATGTTGAGCCAGAGGACGAGGTACGGCCAGACTTCCCATGTCCTTACTGCTATGAAGATCATGACATTACATCTCTTTGTGCCCATTTAGAGGATGAGCACCCCTTTGAGTCTAAAGTTGTGGTAAGTATCTCTGCTTTCTACTCTCTTTCTGTATTTTCTTATATGCTTCTTTTATCTGAAGTCAGTCAAATGTGTGAGAAATCATATCCACTCCTTTTGTTTCTTTCATTTTGGATAGCCATAGATTAACCTTGTAGAACTCGAGTAGGTTACTAAATTTCGTTGTGAATAATCAGTGTTTTGTTACTACATGGAGATATTGAATTAATACATAAATGATGGAGAGAGATTGTGAGAAGAAGCTAAATGGAAATACTCATATTTTGCAGTTGTTACACATTGGCTACATGAACCTTTAGGTTAAAGTTTAACTTTGATGTGTATTGGACCGTTCTGATATGATTGCCTTAATTTGTTGTGTTGCATATGCTGTATAATTTGTTACTTAATTTATAGTTGTATGCTGCAGGAATGATTTGTTTTAATTCTTATCCAATGTCATCTCTTTAAATGATCCATTTAAATGTTGAGAGGTTTCTCTATGAATGTTTAAAGGCTGGGCTTGCAATACCCAGGTACCAATATGTTATTTGCATAGTTTAATCTCTCTCTAAAATGATTAATTTAACAGACAGTATTTGATCTAGGACAAAGAAAACACTAATGCCTAGATATTCATTTTAAAGACAGAACATACAATTAAGGCATAGATCTTCTTTTCTAGCCAGACCAGACAATTAGAACTCAATTGTTCCTTTTGCCATAAGGATACTATACTAAGGGGACTAAGGGTTGGTTTGGGATTGGCATACTGCGCTGGACTAACTGGGAACACGGTTATACTGGAAACTGTGGAAACTGCTGGTATAAAAAATCAAGCTCCTTCTGAAGGTGCATCGAAGTATCGAACTATAGTCAAGTTTGGTGCTATCAATTTTCTGAAGACATGAACATTTGTCAGTAACGTGATTTAGTACCGAATATGTTCATTTCAATAGTGAAAACAACATCATGATGCACACAAGCAAGATATTTACACAGTTCTTATATAGGATTAAGCCAAAAACCAGATTCAGGGCTTATAAATTAAAAAAGTCAGCCAGCTTTTGGTACAATAACGAGGTGGACCTAATACTCCTTCCATATGATATATTCTGTAGTTCCTACTCCCTAACCATACTTGTATACTCTCCACAGGCTTGCCCGGTTTGCTCGGCTAGGATTTCAAAGGACTTATTGGATCACATAACCCTTCAGCACAGCTACCTGTTTAGAATATCCTTTTTGAGATGTTAAAAGTCTCTAAATTCTGTATCATGTTTTGTGAACTGTTATTTTCATATGTTTCCTTAATGGTGTATTACCTGCAGAGACATCACAGATTACGCAGAGTTGCTGTTCCTAGCAACCATGCTCTCTCCCTTGGAGGGAGAGATCTACAGGAGACCTACTTAAAGGTTCTTCTTGGAAACAGTAGTCGAAGCAGTGGTACCAATGCAGCAAGTTCAGTCACTGATTCACTACTATCTTCACTTGTTTTAAATTTATCTTCATCCGAAGCCGAAGATACAGCGAAATTTTCTGCTCTAGCTGTGGTAGAAAATAATTGGTTTAAAAGAACACTGCCTTCAAAGACTTGGAAGGCAAGGTATGATCAATACCTTCCTGTGTGCTACTAGTACTATTTTTGTGCCTTGTATGGTTTTCTAGGTCTTAATCCCAGATAAAATTATTATAACTTTGTGAACAAATAATCCTCAATTTACCAGTTCAGATATGCTTTCCGATACTCAAAATTGTAGATCTGCTTGGCCTAGATTTCATTCCTACCAATTGTGTTACTGTTTGTACATCCTAAAGTTCATTTGTATGCTATAAATTGTGTAAGTAAACTCAGCTTATAAGTCACTATAAACTTGTGAGCTCTATTGATCCACACTAAAGTTGGTTTATCTATAACTATACTAATATGGCAATCTGAGGAAATTCCCACTAATAAATCTGACCATCTATCTAGGTGGGACCAAGTTATTATTTGGTTTATACACACTGACATTGAGCTCGTCATGCTCTATGAACAAGAGCGTATGTTAATCGACTATCTTTCTTGCAGCTCTGATTCTAATCTTAGTCAGGAAGAAAGGGAGAGAAGGCGGAGGCGAGCTGCAGTGAGATCATCTTTTGTACAGCACCTGCTTGTCTCTACCCTTTTTGATGACTAGCAGAAGAAAAAAAGAGCAGCTCCGTGCACTGGAATCTCGAGTGGGCCTTTTGTCCACACATTTCTGGATGAATGATGAAGTAAAGCATCTTCCAAATCCTGAAGCAGTTCATCCAACCGGAGGCTGGTTCCTGATCCTTTCGACATTGATGATGAACCGATGTGGCTGGCCTCTTACTTGTCATGGAAGCAGTTCTGAACATTTATGTTCGAAATCCAATTCAGATTGCTAGGCTATCGACTAGCGTTACTGTATTGATTGTGTTATTCCATATGATTTCATTATGTGCTTAACAATACAATGAACATTACCCCCAATTTGATTCTTACTATAAACATTTCAAAATTGAATTCCATGTTTGGTATATTCATGAGGTTACATTATCTGTTCTATCTGGCGTCAATTTTCCTGCAATAGCCACATTACCTTTATTTTGTTTGGTAGAGTTCCAGATGAAGCAATTTGCTTGGATTTACATCCATCCCAAAGTATCATTTCTAATCTCTACTCTCTCCGTTCAAAAAAAAAAAAGGTAACCTAGGAGGGGATGTGACCTCTCCTAACGTCCAGATTTATTGTACTAGGATCCTTTTTTTTTTCTGGGGGACAGAGGGAGTACTAGTGAAGAATGAATCTGAGAATACAACCAGGATAAGTCACATCATCTGATTAATATTATCTGTTAGAATCATAAAATGATCAAATAGATAAAATAAATCTCAGCTATTGAGGGTATTATGGATTTTTCCAACACTCCCTCATCGTGGCAAAGAGATAAAAATAGTAGAGATTAGAGAGCAAAGAAATAAAAGAAAAAAAAAAAGAACTACAAGCTACAGCATCGTCCATGTCTCGCATCCCTGCACCGAGCCAGGGAGCTTGGGCCTATAGTTGTTGATTGAGTTAGTTGACTGTTAGATAGGTCCATAAATATATATAAGATTTGGTTTTTAATATGTTTATAAGTGCATATGAGATTTTTTTATATGCTCTTCTTTAAAAACATAAAATAGAACCGGTTGATCCCATGTGAAAAAGGGCATATTAAACATTGCAATGCCAATCACTACAACCCCAGATCTCACATCAAGTGCGAATAATAAAAATATTATACTTTCTCAATAGGAAGTAATTGGGCACCAATAAATTTTAAATACACATCTCTATTCATAGTTGTCGTTTGGAAAATGGAAATTCTCATCTACTCTGTCCGTCTTCAAATTTTCCAAATTATACGGGGGATCTCCAAACGAGTAAATTCTCCGGGGTATCTAAGTATTTTCACCTCAATCTTGAACTCTACTAAACAACAACCTAGGACTAATTATATTTGTGGACGAATGGAATACATAATTTATAATCGGACACGCGAACGGTGAACAGGCCGCATTACGACGTAGAATATATATGTTATTGTTATAACTACGCTTCTTTACAAAGTATGTTATACGGACACTTATTTTAGCTAATTACTATAAATAACATTTAACATGTTTCCTGAAGGGATATTATGATCGCGCACGAGGCTGTGTTCGGAGGTGGGAGTTGGGAACCCATCTCCCGTGCACGGAAAACGGAGTGGTCCATTAGCATGTGATTAATTAAGTATTAGCTATTTTTTTTCAAAAATGAATCAATATGATTTTTTTAAGCAACTTTCGTATAGAAACTTTTTTTAAAAAACACACTGTTTAGCAGTTTGAAAAACGTGTACGCGGAAAACGAGAGAGGAGAGTTGGGAAAACAGAGTACCGAACACAGCCTTAAATACTCCTGGGAGTAGGCTAGTAGATATGGACTGGACAAGCTTGTATGACTTCACCTGTGAGGTTTGAAATCTTGGTTGCCAAAAGAAGCATGACACTTAGATATGAATTTGTTATGGGTGTAATGCTTCTAGGAAATCTTGGTGTCATGCTTCTTTGCACCGTTCAGTCGTGTAATTTTGTTATGGGTTCTTTACTTGCGATCTTCAAGATATGAATCGTGTAATTTCTTACTTTTTATTTTTAGAATTATGGAATTCCTATTTTTAGTAGCTTTGAGCAGGATTACAATCGATTTGCAGGCATATTTGCAAGAAAGGTGATAAAAAAGCCACGTGCATCTTCCTCTACTACAAACATTCTGCTTAGGGCACAATTTCGACATCAGCTATTTGGATAAACTTTTCACCTCATTTTTAGATATAATATATATAATTCGTATGATAGATTTTCTATTAACATATAATTATCTACAGAGGATTCATATGATTAACATTATACTTCTATAAGCAGTCTATACAATGACATGAACGATATAATGCTACCCAAATCATAAAGGATCAAATCTTCCTTCCTGACAATTGATATTACACCACTATTCATACCCTTAGCACCGTACGTGCTCAACACTGTTGCGACATCATGAGAAAAAAAAACATGAAACAAATGATTAGAAGAAATTCCTGCTATGCTCTCTTTGGGTTTCTTGACGATCAGAGATATCTCTGCCCTGGTTATATGTGTTTCAAATCAACGCAAGCTTCTAATCAGTCCCGGATTGTTTGGTAGGGTATTTGCCATAGACCAAAAGCTGTACTCAGAGCCCATATCACAGCTTGTCTCCATGCCAACGCCTATTCCTGGATATCCATAATGAACGCACACCACAAATGAAAATGGTAACACGTACACCTCCAAGTTTGAAAATGATACTTCCTCCGTTCCGTTCCATATTATAAGACTTTCTAGCATTGTCCACATTCATATATATGTTAATAAATCTTAGACATATGTGTGTGCCTAGATTCATTAAAATCTATATGAATGTGGACAATGCTAGAAAGTCTTATAACTTGAAACAGAGGGAGTAACAATCATTTCTTTGGAAAAAAAAGTACCCAGAAATCCTTGGCTACTATGCACTCAACAGGAACACGCGTGATAGGTTCGACCTCAGCACCACAGATTACATGTGTGAGACGATCAATGCACCTCGAGTACTTGAACAACATAACAAGTAGGCAAGAAGCCAAATCTTCTCTCCAACAGAAAACCTCACCTTTGGAGTCTGCTTCCAGTTCAGCACAACTCCAGTCCGTAATGAGCAAACTGTATGTGGATCTCACTGAATGTTGATTAACCTGATGTCTCCCATGAGCCCAGGCCGACAAGTCCTGAATTTTGCAATCAAGATTGTATCAATATTAGGAGAAAAGAACATTGTCGTATGTGTCATTCCAAACACTGCTATCAGTGATCAGATCAATCTCTTGGTACCAGAGCCTCATCAGTGGGTGTTGAAACACTGATATTGAGATACTCAGGGACCGAAATAAAAATTTGTGGAGCTTCTATAAACTGTTCTAGTTAGCTCTCTCAGTCTCTTGCTCAAGCACCTTGCTGCTAATAACTCGCCACTGGTAATTGAGAAGAAACCTTTCTTTCTAGTTCAACATCCCTGCACACAAAGAGCATTAGAATTTGTAAAATATCTGCCAATCTTGTTTCCCAAATGATGCCAGATTGAACAATGACAGGTTTGGAAACCCCACACCTCCATGACATTCTGGTAAATAATTTACTCCTGATCTCTGGACAGAATTAGCAACTGCAAAAAGTTGCGCAGTCAACCTTTCTGACCTATGATAAAAATATTTTGATAATATTTTAAGTGGCTGCAAGGAGAAAAAATAAAAGTGGTTATCAAAAAGTTATTATGAACATATTCTATCTCAAATGTATACTAATAAAAGAATGTCAAAGCTGCATTTTCGATAACTAAATTGAAAAACAATCTGTCATGATAAACTCCAGTACTTATCCAATGCTTAGGTAACTAAACACTAGAATTGGACCCAATATCTTCTCCAGTGCAACAAAACCACTATGCAATACCACTTTTATGTTACATGTTAGATCAGGCTATCAAAACTTTATGTTGGTAAAAACACGTACCGAGAAAGATGAAATATTTATTGGAGAATAAAATAATTGTGCCTGCATGAGCATGAAGAGGACATTCCTCTGAAAAAGATGGATTCATGAATTCCCACTGAAAGAGCAAACTGAGAATGATCTTGAAAGTTTTCTCAATGGGACTATATTTCCACTTTCCAGCATGATCCGTGAGCTGCTTTTTGCTGGTAGAGTGGTAGTAGCAGTGTTCAAACCTTCTGAACATGAAAACATTCAATTTTAACAGCAGAGCAAAGGGCAATAGTATCTGTCGTCAATTCCTACTCACTAGGTCACCCTATTTGCTGCATTTCTTCTTTTAGCTCAATTGACCTTTGAATGATGTAACAGGCCAACAAGAGTTCCCTGTCACTCAGTATTTCATCACCCATTTTGAGTTTTAGCTCCATGCATTTTTTTTTAAAAAAAAAACGCTATATATCTCCAATATAAAACCAATCAGATTTCACTAGTAACAACAAATAGCTTACTTTTTACCATCAGAATGAGAAAATGGGTGAAGTCAGAAGTGCCAACCGTTAGCACGCCAATAGTTACGTGAATTAGCAATTACACGTGCATCTCTGACCTTCTTGAACAAATTGTATGCAGTCTCAACTTTGTTCATCTCCAACAATTTGTTGTTCAGTTTGCCATAAACAACTCTACCAAGACAGAAGCCTTTCCGAATTGATTCCTCCACCACAGAAACAGCAGCATCAACCTTACCAACATTACAGAGCCCATTCACAATAAACTCATAAATCTCCTTATCAGATGGATGCCCAGATTCTTGCATCTCCTCCCAAATCTGTAGAACTGTTCCACTCTTCCCGAACATAGCGAGCCTTTCAAGCAAAAGTTTATAAGCTTTCATGGATATTCTACAACCAGCCTTCCTACTCCTTTTGTAGATCAGCAAGGCAGCATGAGGGGGCCCAAATGTGCAGAGTGGTTCAATGAATAACGTAATCATCCCAGTACTTGGCAGAATTCCTCGACTCAACATTTCATCAAACATTTGAAGTGCATCAGCCACTTTGCGCTCCCTCAAAAAGGCTCTTATCATTTTTCTGTATGTGTCAATATTTGGAGGACAATTGTTGTCTAACATATCTTTGTAATACTTGATACATCTGTCAAAATTTCCCACCGATATAAAATTAAAAATAAGTGCATTGTAAGCCATCGTGGTTGGACAATATCCCTCATGTACCATCTTCTCAAACACCTGTAGTGCTTCCTCAGCCCGGTTTGCTCTACCCAATGCCTCGATGAGATGGCAATATGAAACCTGATCGGGTACAAGCCCATCTTCCAGCATCGTTTCCCAGAAATGTTCCACTTTATCAACCCTCCCAAACCTCGCCCAACCACCAATAACCTCATTATACATATGGTTATCAAGATCAATCGTCTCTCCACGAGAAGCCTGCAAGAGCGAGCTGGCGAGACCGACATGCGACCTCCGACAGAGGCAGTTGATGAGGACAGTAAAGATCTCCTTTCTCTGGCAAGTTTGCCAAACTCCAAGTCCAAAATGGTCAGTGTTGATCAGTTGGATGGCTGTGTTGACATGCCGAGCAGCAATCAGACTATCGATGATGATCTCCAGCGTGCTTATGTCAGGAGACACGCCGTTTTTACGCATGATCTCCAGGGCGGGTTCGAAGAAGGCGAAGAATTTCCTCCTGCCCAAAGCCCTGATGACAATATTGCAGGTATCGACGGATGGCGGGAGCTTGCTGTTTGCGATGGCCCAGTCAAAGAAGTCGACAGTGGCGGCGCCACTGAAGTTGCCGTGGCTGACAACGCCGGAAAGCACCTCCGGTGAGAGGGCAGCGGCGGCGTCGATGCCCGTGGATGAGAGAGCACGGTGGAGGGCGGCGCGGCCGGGGGGCTTGAGGAGGAAGACCCCGCGGAGGCGGTCGGCGGGGGATAGGAGAGCAGCAGCAGCAGCAGTAGTAGGGCTCGTCGCCGTTGCATCCGGATCGGGATGAATGGTAGGAGGAGGGAGAGTGGTTGGTTCGCTAGGGCTAGCTGAGGAGAGGATGCGGAGGGAGGAGACGACCATGTCCTCGGCGGAGGAGACGGAGACGGAGTAGCGGCGGCGGAGGTGGTGGAGGAGGAGGAGACGGCGGGCCATTCCTGCATCCGGGCTCGTCGGAGGGACTCGAGTGAGAGAGAGGTGGGGAAGGAATCGCAGGCGCTCGCTCACCAGAGAAGAGGCGGGCCGGAGCAGGGGAAGACGAAGGCGCCGCGCCGCTCGGACAGCCGCGGGAGGAGGCGGTCAGCGGGGCGATGGTGGCGGCGGCGGCGGCGCGATTGGGCAGAGGGTGTCGCCGGCGGCGAGGTAGCCCACCGAGACGTCGGAGAGAGTCTGGGCCGAAATGGAGTGCTTCAGTGAGGCCCATTAGATAAGCTGGTAGAATTTGGGCCTCTTTTAATGGGCCGGATGGGAAGTGATGGACGAATTTGGGCCGGGCCAAGATGGATATATTGGGGCCAAGGAAAAAGTACACCCAAGGTCCTTCAACTTGTCATTGAGTTCGAAATCGTCTCCGACCCACAAAACCAGATATATAACATCCCTCAACTTACAAAACCGTTCACTTTAGGTCCTTCGGTGGTTTTTGACCCGATTTTGTCCTACATGGCGGTTGAGTCAGCGTGGGACTCACGTGGGCCCCACATGTCAGTAAGCCATGTCATCACCTCTCTCTCTTTCCTCTCCCTTCCTCTCTCTCTCTCTCACTTTTCTCCTCTCGGAAGGCCGGCCAGCGGGTGGGGACTGGGGAGGTCGCCGGGGTGAGGCGGGAGAGGAGGTCCCACAATCGCTGACCGGCCACGCGGCGGCGGCGACAAGGGATAAGGGGAGGGCGGCGGCAGCGGTGCCTACCGGTACGAATCCCATCGCCGCGCCGCCATGTCCTCCAGCGGGCCGCACTTCTTACGCGTCAGCACCGTCGCGCACACCGGCCTAACCACCACCAGGTCCCCACCGGGCTCGGACGCGGAGAGCGGCGCCCACGCTCGTGGAGCTGGGCCCGGCGTCTCCTTGCCGGAGGAGGCGAAGTGAACCACGGGCACCCGCCCACGGCGAAGAGGAGCTTGCTCTGCCGCGCGTGCCCCATGCCCAGCGCCTCGAACGTCGTGGGCGCGCGCCCGCCGCCGCCGCCGTCGACCGCGACGAGCGCCTTGACGCGGGCAATGGACTCGGGCGTGAACCAGAACGACCTGTGCAGGAGCGGCTCGGCGCCGTCCTGCGTCGGCGAGCCGCCGTTATCGCCGCCGTCGATCTGCGCGAACTCGTGGTGCGGGAAAGCGACCTGCGGAGAGCGGCACACCCCTCGCACGAGTTGACGAACTGTATGGCGCCGACGCCGTCGAACATGCAGTGGTTGATGGCGAGACCCAGCACGAACCCGCCGCACTTGAACTTAGTCAAGTGATCCATCGCCATTAACAAGAACTCGTAGATGATTATGAGCAAGAAACACAATGATTAAATGGATAATTGCATGCATGAGAGTTCATGTACGTGCCTGAGCTGCGAGAAGGGGCATCTCGACGTTCTTGGCGCCGGGGACGCTGTACACGAGCTCGCCGAGGACAGAGGGGTCGGGGCGTCGGTGAGTGTCAGGCGCGCAGTGGAGCGGAGCGGCAGTGGGCACGTATGCGCAGCGGGTGAGCGCTGCAGCGAGCGACCGGTCGGCGGAGCGAAGCGCCGACGGCGTCGGCGTCCTCGCTAGCCTCGACATCCCGGCTCGTCGCCGCCGGCTTCCTCGACCGCGTCCTCGTCTTCCTCCGCAACGGTGACGTCACGCTGCAGCACTGCGCCCTGAAGGCGGCGCACCGGCTGTGCCACGTCTCGGAGGACATCAAGAAGGCCATGGGCGACGCCGGGTTCATGCCGGAGCTTGTGAACATCCTCCACGCCGTGGAAAGAGGCAGCCGCCGCGCACCTCCCACTTTCCCTCGGCCTCCGCCGTTTTTCTCCCCAGCCTGCTCGACACCGCGGCACTCGGTCCTTCTCGGTCAGGGCCTACTGCGTGGCCGTCGCCTCGCCCTGGTCCACCGTCGGCGCCGCACCAAGTCGAGAGAGGAAGGGAGAGGAAGGGGAAGAGATAGAGGGCTGACATGTGGGTCCCACGTGGGTCCCACGCTGACTCAGCGCCACGTAGGATAAAACCGGGTTGAAAACCACTAAAGGATCTGTTGTGATCAGTTTTGTATAGTTAAGGGATCTTGCATATCTGGTTTTACGGTTCGAGGATGTTTTTGTATCTCGTTGATAAGTTGAGGTTGCTGACAAGTTAAGGGACCTTCGGTGCACTTTTTCTTGGGGCAACGACGACGTGGACAGCTGAATTAAACTGAGCGCCAAGCGCACCTGACAGTTGACAGTCACTTATTTCATCACCCTGCTGCCATGCCCATATAATTAGGGGTTGACAGTGATCGAGAAACATTAGATCCCGGTGATTACGAAAAAATAGGTTGAGGTCAAAGGATGATTGAGTAACATTTGAATCAGATGGTTAGGGAAGAGGAGTGCACGAACGTGTTAAGGTGGTGGGAGGAGCAGATAGAAGAAGGGTGACTCTGCTTTTATACTAGTAGACATAGTGTCAAAGGGATTAGAATTATACAGTTTAATTTTTCTATATCTCTATTTTAGTGATGGGTTTAGTTGTTCTCTATCCTGTTTTTCAGTTGATTTTTGCATCAAAACACTAGTTTTGGGTGTTGCGGTTCTGTTAGAGGATGTTTTTTACGTAGGGAATTATGATGGTAGAGGTGGAGGGAAACTGCGACCGCTTTTAAAGTGGTAGAAGATACTCCCTCCATCAACAAAAGTTACGTATATTACTTTTGACACAAAGACTAAGGAAAAATTAAATCAAGGAGTAAATGTAAGCATGTAACCAATGAGTATTTAGATGACTCCTTGGATTCTAATAAAACATTTAATTTATCTTTTCATTTAAGTTTTGAATGCATAAAGACTACAAATAGGAACAACTTATTTGGAAAAACTTAAATGTGAAATAGGTGTAACTTTTATGGATGGAGGGAATACGATTGTAGATAACATTGTTTTTTTTTAACCATAGTAGGATTGTATATCCACTTTACACACATCTATCATCTATGATGTAGAGATTGAGAAAAAAAGATTGGCTAATTGTCTATTCGTTAAAGAGCTACCATCTAGGAAAAGATCTGAACTTCCTCCATCCAAAAAAAAATATTAAATCCTGACTAAATATATTTAGATTCATAGTTAGGATTTTAAATTTTTTTTTAACTGAGGAAATAGTCTAGTAATGCGCTCGTAGCACGGTAGCATCAGTGGCCAGTAATGATATGAATAGTATTATCAACGGCCGGCGATGATATGAATATAGGCGATCTGTAGTAGACATTTGTATTACTCCGCCTATGGCGTCCATTTCTACATGTCTATACGCATCAAATTAAAGACGTTGACAGCTGATTCTCTTTGATAACTCCAGTTGTAGGGCAAGGCATCAAGAACCTTTCTTTCCTTTTAATTTGTTTCCTGATTTTTGTACGGTACTCCACATAAATTTTTGCTTACCCTGCGTTTGATTAGCAGGTAGTGCTGTTTCTATCTTAATTCTGACCTCGTCGTCAGCTTTGAGAATACCGTTGATCGAGGCGTTGAGTAGCTGGCGTCTAGCCCAACCCTTCTAGACGCCAAATGGCCTTAGTGAATGATTTGACCACAAGGAGCCTACTACTGTTTGACCTGTGCCCTCAGCTGGACAAACACTTCATTAACAATAGTTGGTAGAGAAAGACCTTTTTAGTTACTCACTTAAACTATCTCGCTAGACTACTTAACACACCCCCTTTAATTTTTATCTCATACCCCAAACCAGTTCTCACCAGGACTACTCCGTCCTACCAAGAGTTTAATTTATAACTTCGCGACTTTTTGAATTTAGCTTCCAAACATGGAAAAAATCAATATTTAGGGCAGACACTTTTAAATTATGGATAATCCCTGCTGGACATCACGTCCATTGAAAATATTATTGATCTACGTTTGAAACGGTGTGAAAGGTCAAAATTACCGTTGTCCTTACCTATCAACTCTTCCATCTGTTTTCTCTCTTTCTCCCAATCTTCACCATAGCTTCCACTGTCATGAGGCAGTCAGTGCATCGGCCTCGCTCTCGATCTCCCTCGCCACTGCCATGGTGGCACTCATCGGCACCAATTTCTCTCAGCTCATGCCGCTCGTCCTAGCCCCACGGCAATGCAGAAGCTCATGCTTGTTGTCCCCATCCCTGGCATCCCCCTCCCCCACCATGCTAGTCGAGTCCTCAAGCAAGGAGCTACGCCCGTCACTGTCGCCCTTATTCCACTCCCACACGTAAACGACCACCAAGGTATCTGTCTCTGCCCGCCGGGACACTTCCGGATCTAGTTCACCTCTGTGGAGCAGAAGGAGTGAATGTGTTGTTTACCTCTGCGGTTTGCAAAAGAGATTGGGAGAAAGAGAGAAGGGAGAGTATTCATTCAAATATTGTATTCATTGCAAATCTTTATAAGATCACACATGATTATATTTTTTAATTGAAACAAACTTATCTGAAACATTGAGTTATACTTATATTGAAACATCACGTAATGCTTTCTGCAACATATGAAGAACAACGTGCAACATTTACTAATGAGCTAGTGAAACGTTATAATATACTTACTGAGACATTCAAGTTACACAATGTGCAACATTAAAAACAGACACATTGCAAATGAAAAACTTAAACGATGCAACATAGTTAAAATCCAGTTGAAACATTTGCTAATTACACGTGAAACATCAAATTTTAATGGTTGAAACATATATTTTTTTCTCTAAATTATAATCATGTGAGATCTTATTTTAAAGATTTAATTAAAAAATTTCAATGGTATAATCGAATTGCAGATCCATTAAATAGTTTAGTAGAAAATTTATTTTAGATGCTACTGATATAGTTTTAAACCTATAAGAGAGAGAAAAGTGAGTACACATTGTACTGCATACAATATGAGAGAGAGAGAGCGCGCGCTATTGTATATAGTATAGAGAAAAAGAGAGCAGACCATCTAGAACACTCGATTCTTCTTATGGTATGTTTAGTTCTTTGGGTGTAAAGTTTTTAAAGTATACGGACACACACTTAAAGTATTAAACGTAGACTAATAACAAAACAAATTATAGATTCCATATGTAAATTGCGAGATGAATTTATTAAGCCTAATTAATCCGTCATTAGCAAATGTTTACTATAGCATCATATTGTCAAATCATGGCGTAATTAGGCTCAAAAGATTCGTCTCACAATTTACTTGCAAACTGTGCAATTGTTTTTTCCCACATTTAATGCCCCATGCATGTATCAAAATATTTGATGTGACGTTTTTGGCCAAAATTTTTTGGGATGCAAACAAGGCCTTAGTTTTAATTAGGGTTAACACATGAGAGAATGGACGAGGGAGTGCTCGATTTTTTTCATTGCAGGTTGGGCGCCCGAGGAGAATCATTTTTGAAATCTATCCCATAATAATTATTACTTTAAAATAGTACTTGTCAAATAAATCAAATCCTATTCAAATTTCTCCCCATTCTACCCTAACTACCCTTTTTCTTGCAACTATGGCCTTGTTTAGTTTGCGAAAAGAAAAATTTTTAGGTGTCACATCAAACGTTTGATCAGATGTCGGAAGGGGTTTTCGGACACGAATGAAAAAACTAATTTCATAACTCGTCTGGAAACCGCGAGACGAATTTATTAAGCCTAATTAATCCGTCATTAGCACATGTGGGTTATTGTAGCACTTATGGCTAATCATGGACTAATTAGGCTTAAAAGTTTTGTCTCGCGATTTTCATACAAACTATGCAATTAGTTTTTCATTTTATCTATATTTAATATTCAATGTATGTGTTCAAAGATTCGATATGATGTTTTTGGGGAAAAAAATTCTGGGAACTAAACAAGACCTATACATCATTTAAAAGGAACAATACAATTTTTTTCTCTTAATTGGTACTTAAAAGATACATAATTAATGACAGTATTTCTAGACAGAGGGAATATACGTACTTCCTCCGTTTCACAACGTAAGACTTTCTAGCATTACCCATATTCATTTAAAAGTCTTACAATATGAATCGGAGGAAGTACATCACATCTTGGCAGTCAATTAAGTTTCGTGCAGACCCTTTCGTAGAACTTTTTACATGCGCAATTAGTGGTTGTGCATATATAACCTACTGTACATATTTTTCTCGTAGAACTATGTTGCGGATTACATGCGCAATTAGGGGTTATGTATATAACCTACTGTACATATTTTTCAAGTAGAACTATGTTATGGAGTCCTATATTCTACTCCATCCGATTCATTTGATAAATCGTTCTGACTTATTTTTTAAATCAAACTTTTAAAAGTTCAATCAAATTATGAAAAATATAGCAACACTTGCAACATCAAATTAGTTTAACTACATCTAACATTAAACATATTTTGAAAATTTCTTTTTTTTATTAAAAAATATCGCTTATATTTTTATAAAACTTGATCAAATCTAAAGAAATTTATAACTTAAAAAAATCAAAACAACTTGTAGCACGCACTACCTCTGTTTCAGGTTATAAGACTTTTTAGCATTGCACATGAACGTAGGAAGTATATGTTTTCTTTTTCGAAAAACAAATGCACCCTGGACGCGGCAACAAATATAGCTGTCAGGCATACATGCTCCAAGCCTCCAACCCCTTCACTGTTGCGCGCATGCAGAGACGTAACACTCGGCGTCTCTCTCTCGGCCGCCCGCGCCGGCCAGCCGGCGCCGGCCGCCGATAATTATAATATTCATAATTTCATATCATTTCAACGTATATGTTTGGCGCCACCTCGCCCCCCTCGCCCCCCCCTTCTCTTTCGTTGATGTCTCACTCCTCGTCGCGCTCCTCCTCCCTCTTCCACCTCCACCTCTTCTTCCCCCACCACCGCCGCCGACGCCGGCGCCACCGCTCCGGCGCCGGCGCCATCGACGACGACATGGGCTGCGCGCAGGGCAAGCCCTCGCAGGGCTCCCCGGCACGCAGCGACGGCCGTGGCATCGACCACCTCATGCGCAAGAACCGCTACGTCCCGGTCGCCTCCTCCCGCCTCTCCGATCCCCTCCCCGCCGCCGCGCCGGCCGCCGCCAGGCTGCTGCTGCGGCCGCAGGGGCAGCAGCAGGACGCCGCCCGCGGCAGCGGCCGTCGCGCCGCCACCGCCGCCGTCGAAAGGGAGCTGCAGACCGATCAGCGGGACGGCGGCAACGATCGTCAGACTGATCATCATCAAGCCATGGATGAAAGCTCCGCGGCGGCGGTGGCGGAGGCGGAGGCGACGGCGGCGGCGGCGGCCGTGGATGAGGAGGAAACTCCGGCACCGGCTCCGCAGCCGGCGCCGCGGCGGGAGGATGAGCTGGTGGACGGGTGGCCGACGTGGCTGCTGGACAACGTGCCCCGCGAGGCGCTGCAGGGGATCGTCCCCAAGAGCGCCGACGCCTACGACAAGATCGCCAAGGCACGCACCTGCACCGCCATGCCTCCATGGCCGGCGTCTCTAGCTACCTTAATTACAGCTAAAACTGAAAGTCTAATGGCGGCGGCCGCCATGGATGGATGCTGGTGCAGGTGGGGCAGGGGACGTACAGCAACGTGTACAAGGCGCGGGAGAGGGGGACGGGGAGGGTGGTGGCGCTGAAGAAGGTGCGGTTCGACACGTCGGAGTCGGAGAGCGTGCGGTTCATGGCGAGGGAGATGATGATCCTGCGGAGGCTGGACCACCCGAACGTCATCCGCCTCGACGGCATCGCCACCTCCAGGATGCACCGCAGCATCTACCTCGTCTTCGACTTCATGTACTCCGACCTCACCCGCATCATCTGCCGTCCCGACCACCGCCTCACCGAGCCCCAGGTACGCCGTACGCACGCCGCCATGGGCAATGGCCATGCAGCACGGCCTCACACAGCCGGCACACCGGCCATCTTCCTCCTCACATCAATATTACTTGATGATATCTTGTCCTTGGATACGCAGCCTGCTGCTTCCATTTGTTGCCACATGCGTGGCCTTTTTCCTCTTTTGTTCCTTCTGGTTTTTGGTGGTTTTCAGACGGGGCCAGCCCGGAATATTTTATTATCCAATGGGCTAAGTCAAAACTTAGCTGGGCTGGCAATTTTGTTCTGGCTAGCTAGTTCGCCGTTGTTGTTATGTTGGATAGCTAGGCTAGCAAATGTTCATTCGGTTTCAACTTTGGGCTGAATTTGATTCGAGTACTTCAACTATCAAACCAAAGTACCAAACTGTGTATAGAGATTTCCTTTAAGTTTTAGATCGATTTACCTTCCTAAACGGTTTTTGATGATGGTTTCGTCCTAGGTAACACCTACTTGAAATTTTAACCTGGCCTTTTATGTGATGTGAAGCTTACATAATATTTCAAGTCGAAAAAAGAAACAAAATGCATATACAAGTCTAAGTCTTTTAGGGAAAAAAATAAAAAATATATGGTCCACATGCCATCCCCGGCCCTCTCTCATTTCTCCCTCCTCTCACTCCTTGTTCTCCATCTCTTTTTATGCCGGAGTTGTTTGACCGTCTCATGTTCCACGCCAATACCGTCGGCGTACGCATACACCACCCCTTCGGCCCTTCCTCCCTAGCCCCTTGCTCTTGGACCTCCTCTTCTTGAACCAACTAAGACAGCTGATTTTTTTAGATGATCATATATTTCTAATTTTCTAAGATAAAAAAGGGCTTCTTCAGAATCTAGATAGTGCTTTAACACTTTAGATAATAATCATATATTTCTAACGGCCTACATGAATCATTTAATTTCTTGTTGTTGGATTAGACATTTAAATTGTCAATAAAATTTATGACCTTTTTACCCATATATTTTTGTTTTCTAATCATAGTGTGCAAATCGATATCTTGCATCAACTTGTGGGGTGTTGTCACCTAGTTATAAAACCACAAATTGAAAATTAGAATTCAAAACAGAACATCAAATTGGATAGCAATGTTAAAAAGAACAATCATCAACATGACACCTTGGAAATTCGAACTGAACTACTAGATTGGAAGAGGAGTGGCCCACAAATTGTAGAACATGACTCTGAGATGACGCCAGCAACTCGAAAGGGGATCGCCATGAAACTAGCTGCCTAACCTGCACATGTGGATGCTGAGATGGTGCCAATGTCTTGAAGACGATGCCTGCTTGTGGCATGGATCGAGGTTGGAAAGATGTTGGCAACGTGGATCGAGGGTGGAGTAGAGAGTGGTGCCGATGAGGTCAAAAGAAAGCTGAGCACGAAGGCTATTAATGGTAGGGTGGAGAAGGGAGCGGTGCCCGACCATGAGGTCGAGAGCAAGCCGAGAGCAGTGGCAGTAGGGCGAAGTGGAAGCTGGTTCGCAAGGCCACGTGGAACCAGGAGGGTAATGAGAAGAGCGCCAAGTTAAATCGAATTATTGTGTGGGCTCTTTAGGTGTTTTGTTTTTTTGGGTATAATGGGCCCAATTGGACGGATTTTAATCCGGAAACTTGCCATCCAAACACTCTTTTACAGCCCACCATGCAAAAAGTTAAGGGCCAGAAGTGTACACTAGTTTTGGGTTTAAAACTAGGCTTCACTCTTAGTTTTGAATTTTAAAACTGGCTTTATTTATTTAGTAAACTTCATGCTTCGTCATCTATTATAGTCTAAGTTGCACAAAACCACAGTGATTTTAACATAGCACATAACCCGAGCATTATGCTCTTAAAGTTTCACAAAACCACGCCATTAACCAAATTGACATACTCCTGTATCAAAATTTTAAAACATTTCTATGATGAATAAATAAACAATAAATTTGAAATGTGATTATAGAACTCAAAAGTATGATAGAGCAAAGTTAAAATGATAAACAATGTGATTTTGTGAAATTTTATGACCATAATAATTGGGGTTATATATCACGTGCCACAATCCCTATAGTTTGGTGAAATTTAGTCTATATTTTTTAAGAACAAAGCGGGTATATTTGTGCAGATAAAATGCTACATGCAGCAGCTGCTGTCGGGGCTGCAGCACTGCCACGAGCGCGGCATCCTCCATCGCGACATCAAGGGCTCCAACCTCCTCATCGACCGCCATGGCGTCCTCAAGATCGGCGACTTCGGCCTCGCCAACTACTACGGCCGCCGCCGCCCGCTCACCAGCCGCGTCGTCACCCTCTGGTACCGCGCCCCGGAGCTCCTCCTCGGCGCCACCGACTACGGCGTCGGCATCGACCTCTGGAGCGCCGGCTGCCTCCTCGCCGAGATGTTCTCCGGCAGGCCGCTCATGCCGGGAAGAACCGAGATCGAGCAGCTCTCCCGGATCTTCACCCTCTGCGGCTCCCCGCCCGACGACTACTGGCGGAAGATGAGGCTGCCGCCGACCTTCCGCCCGCCGAGGACGTACAAGCCCTCCATGGTCGACAAGATCGCCTTCCTCCCGCCGCCCGCGCTCGCCCTGCTCGCCACGCTCCTCGCCCTCGACCCCGCCGCCCGCGGCACCGCCGCCCAGGCCCTGCAGAGCAGCGTACGCACGCACGCACGCACGCCGCCGCCGCTGCCGCCCGTGTCAGCGTACTGCAGTGCCATCCATTGATTGACATTGACTGCTGCTGCTTCTTCTGCTGCAGTTCTTCAGCACGCCGCCATTGCCGTGCCATCTGTCGGAGCTTCCGGTTGTGTACAAGGAGGAGGATGAGGTTGCTGCTTCCCATGATGGAAGGAAGTGAGAAATATATGACTGAATTTTCACCTCCATCTCTCTGAACTTGCGTTCTTGTTTACTGTTCGATCGGTTTCGTTTGCAGATTTCCTGGCTCATGATTTTTTTTCTGTCCATATGTATGCAGGCCCAAACTGAGAGAGCGGTCACATAAGCGAAGAGACAACAAGCCGAAAGCTGAGGAGCAGCATAAAGATAAGGAACAAAATCTCAACAGTAGTCCTAGTAACAAAGAGGTAAACAATCATAAAAACCCGGGAAAGTTGGTACTTAGGTGTATTCATATAGTTTATAGTTTAAATAGTTATATAAAACATTAATATAAGACACATTATAAACATGTAAGTCTAAATTTGATCTAACATGAAGAAACAAAAATAGCAAATATTTTATATGCTAAAGTGGTACTATTCACTGTCTGATTTTTTTTTCACTAGTTGTGATCAAATATAGTCTTGCATGTTAGCATATAGACTTTGTATCATCCGAATTAATGTTACTAATTTTTTTAAAAAAATATATAATTTTGAGACGTACACAAATGACAGGTGTCGTAGCATTTAAGTGTAGAAAATCTATGTCCATAAAACCTATCTTTTCTATCATTTCTTACCTGAGCTAAGCTTTAGGTCACTGCATGCTCAATTAGTTCGGGAACAGATGAGCACAGTCTGACAAAGGCCCGGTTTAGCTCTCCAAATTTATTTCCTAAAAACATCACATCGAATCTTTGGACACATACATGAAGTATTAAATATATATTAAAAAAATAATTGCACAGTTAGGGGGGAAATCGTGAGACAAATTTTTTGAACCTAATTAGCCCATGATTAGCTATAAGTGCTACAGTAACATACATGTGCTAACTACAGATTAATTAGGCTCAAAAGATTTGTCTCGCGGTTTCCAGGCGAGTTATGAAATTAGTTTTTTATTCGTGTCCGAAAACACTTTCCGACATCCGGTCAAACATCCGATGTGACACCCAAAAAGTTTCTTTTCGCGAACTAAACAGGCCCAAAAGCTATTCCAAAGACGAAACTTAATTGCTCTGAGTCTGACAAAAGCTATTCCAAAGACGAAACTTAATCGTTTTGATATCTGTTATTAGCTCTCCAATTGTCTCTAAACATATTTCACACATACTGGCTAATGTAGGAGAAGATTATGGAGGATACAAAAAAATCAGCCCAAGATTCAAAACGATTTTCAGATGGACAGGTTCAGGAGGTGTTCCCCAAGGGGTCACCTGCACCTCAAGATCAGCAGGTGCCAAGAACAAATACTTACAGCCCAGACAATGATCATCACAAGAATCACAAGGTTCATTTGGTACCGGGTAATGATCAGGATCAACAAACAGACAGCAACCATGGCAGCCTAGAGATCAGGTCGGCATCCATGCTGGAATACAACGCGCCGCGAACCCAAGGAGGCATGTCCAAGCAGACTTTTGTGGATCATGTGTAGGTTGTGTGAACTGATGGAAATGAGAAGGAATTGTTCAGGTTCTATCTGTTGTTGCTACTGTAACTCTAACCAAAATACTCTTGCTCCAAGTTACAACCGAGCATCCACCGAATTTGGGGAGGTTAAGCTCAATAATTGCCATTCGGGAAAGAACATTGTTTAGTTCTATTCGGTTTTCTGATTGCTCCTACTGTAACCAATTCTAAGAAGAGGACTCCAGTCTCGCTCGTCTCAGGTGGGATAGGAGGCCATAAGCCGGAACCCCCGAGAAACCACAGCCAACCACCTCACCATCGCCAGCCACGATGCTCTCTGCCACCACTGGCAGTGTCCCCCTCCACTCCCCACCTCCTTCCACTCTCCACCTCTATCCCCTTCTATTCTCTCTCTAGCTCCTCTCCACTTCAGATCTGGAGGCTGTTGACCGAGCGTCCGGCGAACAACTTGGATGGCGTCGCAAGGGCCTTCTCCCTCCATCGACCAGGCGTTTGTGTCGACTACGCCTAGGCTAGTGCATCGGACCGGCTGCCTAGGGGCCGGTGCGTCATGCTGACCATCCAGGTGAGGGGAGTGGCAGGTGGCGCCCAGATCCACCGCCTGCGAGGCTGGATCCGGCTGATCTGTCGAGGCTTGCCATAGGGCAGGTGAGGGGAGTGGCAGGTGGCGCCCAGATCCACCGCCTGCGAGGCTAGATCCGGCTGATCTGCCGAGGCTTGCCATAGGGCTTCATCTACGGCGAGGGGTGGTAGCTGTCACGGTGGCAAGACGCAAGGTTTTTGATCTGCCGCCTCATCTTGCCCTATCGTTCAGTGGGGTTGTGTTTCCTGTGTGTGTGTGCACTACTGGAGAATTGATCTTTGCTGGTTCATGCGAAAACCATATTAGTCCCGGTTTGAATAGGAATCGGGACTAAGGATCATTTTTAGTTCCGGTTTAAAATTGCAATGGGACTTTATGATCTTTAGTCCCAGTTGGCAGTGTAGAAGGATGTGTATGGTATGTGATGGGCGAAAGCTCTGCCCAACTTAAAGCTGGACCAGTGGCAATGGACGTCCCCGGACATCATGTCCCTCCCTGGAGGTGCCGTCGTAGCATCCATGCTCCTTCTGCCTTGGGGTGCTGCGCGAAAGCCCTATTCCAATGTATGTGCGATGGTGGCATCCATTCCGATGTTGTTCCCTTCTTGAAGGCATCGCTTTTGGAACTCCTAGGTCGTCAAATGCATCCTGCCTTCCATATCGTTCTCCCCTGCTCCGCCCTCCTCGGTGTCTCACTCCACTTTCCCTCCTCTCATGGTCCTCCCTTTATTCTCCAGCTCTATGGTTGTGCTTAGGTCACACTCCAATTCACATCGAACTATTGTGATTCCCAGCCTACTCTAGCTGTCTTTGTTCGGGCCGAAACTCACATGGTTCCCTTTTCTTCCTACCCTCCCTTATTGGGTGAGTTTTCCGACTTCAACTGATTTCTGGAATAGATTGGTTGCTGCGCTGGTGAGCTGTGCTTTCCTCTACCCACGCCTCCTTGATGCTGTTGTGTCGATGTTTGCTCTACCCAAAAGTTTGCTACCTTTCCCAGATCACTTTTGCCTAGTTCTGTGCTTCATCCTATCGTTGTCGCTTGATTGTTTTTTTCCCACAACATTGATGCCCCTCCCTCTTTGGGGCTTCCTTCCCCCAAAGGACGTTGGAGGGCGGTGATCAGATTGGTGACATGTTTAAGCCTGACACTTGAAAACTTGATGCGGGTGGTCTATGGCCGCAACCTTCAGTTACCATTCCCTTTGGGGCTTCCTTCCTCCAAACGGCGTCGATGGGAAATGTTAGATCAACATGCTAAAGTTTGATTCTTGATGACTTAATGCAGGTGGTCATCTTCAACCACAACCTTTGGACACTAGGGATCGTGCTTGTGTACGTCGCAAAAGGCCCTCTAGCATTCTGGATTCCTGGCTGTTCCATGACTGGATTGCAGGGTGGATGTCTTCATGTCTGACAAGTTTTTTTGCTTGTCAGCAAGCTATGATGCTAACTCTAGTTTGTTTGGGGTTTGGTTGTATATTTTCTCTTGTAGAACGTCTTGTGCTCTCCCCGCACTTTTATTCTCTTCCTTGTGTTTTCTCCTCTTTGTAATCCTTCTATTCATCCTCCTGGGCACTTGTGTTTCGCGTATGATGCTTGCCCTGTGTAACACCTTTCAAGTAATGAAAGCTATTTAGGTGGGGAAGCTCTCCCCCCGGTGATCTTTCAAAAAAATTATATATTTCAGGAATGTTGAAAATGAACCATTCTCATATGCTTGTTCTTCAATTTGTTTCAATACTTAAAAGGACACAAAGAAAAATATGTACAAAAACTATCCAATTAGGCCTTGGCTAACTTTCAAGCACTAAAAAGTAAAAAAAGAACATGTAATATTGTAAAGGAAAAAAAAATGATAAACAGAAGCAAAAAAAACATTTCTTGATATAACTTAATTTGCAAATTAAGAAGGATACAACCACAACAACATTCTTTTCATAGTTATACATGCTACACCAATCTCTCGGTTAATATTAGTGAATGATAAAGTCAATAATATAAATAATATTAAGGAGGGGATATTTGATCACCAGGTAAGCATAGAAGACCCAATAGATGAGATTGATTTATACTCCCTCCGTTTCATATTATAAGACTTTCTAGCATTACCCACATTCATATAGATGTTAAATTAATCTAGACACCTACATATATCTAGATTCATTAACATCTATATGAATGTGGGCAATGCTAGAAAGTCTTATAATCTGAAACGGAGGGAGTACAAGTTTGGGCCTCGTAAAGTATATAACTCAATGTCTTGTGATTTAGGATTATATTTGGCATTAAAGCAGGTCTAGCTACACACAGCTTAAAATAAATGATAAATTAAGATATCGGTCCTTTCAAATTTGTGTTGTAAGGGAGATCTCTCCTCATCATATTAAATTTCTGTAAGTATTTATAGAATCAATTATTGGCAAATTTTGTGCGTTAGTCTTCCATGTAATCGAAAAAAAGACTAGTATATTTGGGGGGAAGTTAGGCTGAAGTCACGAGGGTGTTCTGTAGTGCTGGGCTGAGATAGAGCCAAATGAGGCTATATCTCAAAAACAATAACCCCCATATATTATTTATTGACTGTATTATCCTCTAAGAGAGTACACGTATACCACATTGATGATTACATTTAATTTCTGCTATTATATATAATGTGCTTCCAAAAATAGCTTATCTATCTTATCTACTAGTCTATCATAATGTGCTTCCAAAAATAGCAAGTCTTGTTTGCTATAAGACATCTGCAATTCCACAAGCCCTTCTCCCAGTCAGATTACCATCAACAGCAGAACACTTAATTTAGTCAACACTCTAGCTGTTAACATTTGACAAAAGCGATTCAAGATGAGGCCCAGTCAACTCTTGCTCCTGACCCTCGCCCTTGTGCTGTTGTCATCAAGTATGCTTCTCGGCTAATCATACATGTAGTATAGTTATTTATCAAGCTTTGTTGCTGTTTTGATTTTTTTGTTTTCGTGAAGAAATTGTTTAGATCTTTGTTCTACTTGAGATTTGCAGACAAGTTAGCAAATGCATCCGCAGAAAGCAACATCAATCCAGAGGCTGATTGTTCTCCAGCAGTTATTATGATTGGTGACAAGTGTATCCCCAATGTTTGCCTACATAAGTGCCTTGCATTGGGTGCTGCAAGAGGCAACTGCATTGAAGGGCCAGCATGCAATTGTGATTTCTGCGGACCTAATGCACCACCACCGTCTATAGTACAATAAGATGGCATTGTATTGATATATATATGTACAACTTCTCATGGATGTAGCAACAAATTCAATAAGTAGAAATGAATGATGATCAAATTATAGGATTAAATTGAGCAAGCATTATGTAGGATTAAATGAACTGAGCTATGCAAATAGAGGAGGGTGAATGGTTGAGGGAGTCAATAACTTCAAAACAATTAGCATCCAAAAACTAAAAATAAAGTATTGCAAGACAAGTCAATTATCTCTTGTATAGAGAAGCAATTGTTTACCTAATGAATATTCGTGACTTCGCAGCGGGATCTAACTACCCCTTGTCGTCATGTTGGGGCCACATCTCCACCTTGTCTCCAGTGGAGTGCGGCAGAAGCCATGCGACCACAAGGAAGATGGCAGCCGGGATTCCAGAGCATGGGCAGTGATCAATATCTGCAAGGGAACGAACGCCTCTTCCTTGCCGGAGTCACCTATCGGGCTGTCTACGCTACTCTAGGGGATACGACTTTGCTGTTGCTCTTCTCCACCATCGGTGCCATATAGATATGGGCCATGGCAATTCGGGTATCCAATCACATCCCATCGACCCGGTTCGACTATCGTTACCTGCATCGTGCTTGGGAAACTGCTGCCGCTCAACTCTTAGGAGGAGGTCCAGCTCATATCACCTAGATATAGGATCAGGAATTCGGGGCCGCTAATGCTAGCGGTGTGTCACACCCCACCCTTGCACCACCTAACTCTAACAAAAGAGAGGGTATGCCGTAGAAAATCGGCGCGAACCAACTCCCACAAAACGTGATACTGGTACCAGTCCCAGGACAAAATTATTGGTACCACGGTCAATCTAGATGTATCATTTGCAATTTAACATAATATATAGATAGTTTATACCTTTAGAAGGTCACACCTTCGGAGCAACTCCCCAAGGGTTACCGGCAAGAAGAGAAGCAATAGCGAAACCAAGTGTAGTTAGACCCCCAATACACAAGCAATGGCTTGGATTAGGTTGAGTACATACATACTAAGCAAGCCACAGGGAAATATGAGTATGCAGGCTTCAAAGGAAGGCTAGATTTGTTTCGCAAACTTTTGAAAACATCTTCCAAAACACTAAGTGTGAGGTTGTTTACCATGTGGCTGGAATGATGCTTTTGCCTCTTTGATCCTATTCACGAATTGCTTTGCAAAAACTCAAGTATAAAAACAAATTTTACTTGATTAAAACTATTTTGTCTGTTGCCCTACTATGCAACTAGTGCATAACATTGTGCCCTTAGGCAGCTTCTGTGGAGATTATGGATACCCCATATCTACACGGCAGTTATAGTCTAGTTGGGTACAGGGTACCGAATATATATAGAATATCTTTATGAGGACTCGGGTTAGTTTCTAAATTTGTATGTCAAGGAAATACCCGGGATCCTAGTCGGTTACGATTGTATTTTATCTGTAATCACATATTCCGTTAGGGATATGGACTATATTTTGTAATACGGACCCCTTCCCC